GTGGCCACACTGGGAGAGGTCTACCCCGGAGCGATGCTACGGGCTATGGACTTCAAGGACATCCCATCCAGGCCTAGAGCAAGGGCATGGATACCGGCCAAACCGACCGAACCTGAGAGAGTACTTGAGATTATAAGGCTCTTTAATCCCGAGTTACCCTCTCACAATTGGAAGGTGGTGCGACTGGAGCATAGCACAAAGGCGACTCGTCAGCGGTCCTTCTGCTAAAAAAGTAGTCCTTGCCACTCCTCGAAAAGACTGGGGGCGTCATTAATTACGGTTTCGACACCGTGAAGATAAGGGTGTACACGAACGACGTGAACGCAGCAAGAGGCAACGAAGTTGAGCCGGAAGAAGACAATAGCGAGGATGAGGTGGTCGAGGAATCCAACCAGGCCAATCCGATGGATGACCTGGCTGGTGGATACGCCTCATCTACATCCTCTCTGGGAGTCGACCATATCTTCCGGCAATACACAGAAGAGGAGCTGATGTCAGTCGACGACGAGGCGAACTCAACAGTGGTGGAGGTGCGGCCAAGATGGTTCGCGTCCTCCAGATTAATCTCCACCACAGCAAAGCAGCGTCGGCTGCACTGCTGCTCCAGCTCTCAAAAGGGGCAGCAGACATCGCCCTCATCCAGGAGCCTTGGGTGATAGGGCATAAATTTGCGGGCTGAAGTCGGCAGAGCACACTTTGATAAGTGGAGCTACCATAGGTAAACCAAGGGCCTGCATTCTTGTAAGTACCAAACTAAAAATATTGTTTCTTCCTCAGTTCAGTGACGAAGACACCACCACCATCAGTCTGGAGGCGAACGGACGACAAAGTAAGGCTTCCTCAATGTATCTGGCACATGACAGACCTGTAATCGGTCGAACAGTTGTCAACTACGGGCCCTGATTAGGTGCAATGCACATGCTGGGGAAGCGGAGACATAATGAACGGGGTGAGTCACTCTTTGAATTCATACTAAAATCTAACTTAGTTATAAGCAATAGGGGTAGCGAGCCTACCTTCATAACGAAGAGCAGAAGAGAGGTCCTGGATGTTACCCTCGTCTCAGAAGATGCGGAGGTTATGATCAGAACTGGAGGGTGCTTGATGAGCATTCCTTCTCTGATCACCGCTTCATCCAATTCGACTTAGATGGGGTCCCGTCCAAGGTACCTCCCAGAAGAAATCTAAAGAAAGCCGATTGGCATAAGTACAGAAAAGAGCTTGATAAGCGGCTCTCAAGAACCACACTAGCAATTCCAGGAAACTCTAGGGACCTAGATAGGCTGGCAAATCGCTTTACTGCGGCGTGTGGCAAGGCTCTGGATCAGGCCTGCCCCATGGTAAAACCGAGAGGCAAAAAGAAACCACCCTGGTGGAGTTAAGAGATTGACGAGGCCCGAAAAAATTGTCTCGCAAAATCCTCGGGAGGCGATATGCATTGGGAAATCTATAAGTTAAACTTGAAAGATTACAAGAAACTATTAAGGAAGAGCAAGAGATCCTAATGGATGAACTTCTGCAGTGGTATGGAATGCGTATCAGAAGGTTCTAGGCTCAGGAAGGTTCTCTCTAGTTCACCTCGTATCGCCCCGGGATGCTTGCTAAGATCCGACGGAGCGTGGACGGAAACTGGGGAGGAATCCCTGGACCATCTTCTGAGCACACACTTTCCAGGCGCCACCGAGCAGCCACTGAACGAGCCAATGAGAGATAGCGGTCAACCGGTTACGGTAGACCTTATCACCAAAGAAAAACTAATGTGGGCAATAGGATCCTTCAAGCCTTACAAATCTGCGGGTCCAGATGGTTTTACACCGATTCAGCTGCAGCAATCTATGGAGCTAAGCTCAAAATGGCTGTATGCTATGTTTAAGGGAGTCCTCACTCTTAACTACATTCCGGAGACCTGGTAAAGGTCAAGGGTTGTCTGCATTCCTAAAGCGGGAAAAACATCCCATACTATCGCCAAAGATTTTAGACCTATTAGTCTATCATCTTTCCAGCTCAAGATAATGGAGCGACTGATTGAATCCTTTCTTAGGGAATCGGTTGCAGACAAAATTATGGCTTCGCAGCATGTCTATACGAAGGGGAAGTCCACCGAAACCGCGCTACAGGAAATCGTGTCGCATATTGAGAAATCCCTTGCGATAAAGGAATACACCTTGATAGCATTCTTAGACATTGAGGGTGCTTTCAACAACATCACACCTGAAGCAATCACATCAGCTCTAACTGGTCTGGACATCGACTCACGGCTGGTGTCGCTTATACGACAGCTGCTAGTTGGCAGGGTCGTGCGGGCGGAACTGGCGGGCGTGTCGCTGGACAGATACGTTTGCAGGGGAACCCCGCAGGGTGGGGTCCTCTCNCGTCACAGCTAGTGTCGCTTATACGATAGCTGCTAGTAGGCAGGGTCGTGCGGGCGGAAATGGCGGGGGTGTCGCTGGACAGACACGTTTGCAGGGGAACCCCGCAGGGTAGCGTCCTCTCTCCCCTTTTATGGGTCATGGCGATAAATGAGTTATTGCAGACCCTGGAAGGGGAGGGAGGCGCGAAGGTCATTGCGTATGCTGACGACCTTGCGGTGGTTGTGAGTGGAAAATTTCCACAAACTCTGTGTGACATTATGCAGGACAGACTAAGGTTAATCGAGAGATGGACCAAGGAAAAAGGTCTGGGTGTTAACCCAGAAAAAACGGACCTGGTGNTCATAGGAAATAAGATTCTGAAGCTAGGGGAGACCGCAAAATAGCTAGGCATAGTCCTGGACAAAAAGCTGAACTGGGCGCAAAATATACAAGAGCGTGTTAAAAAAGCGACGGTAGCCCTCTACAGCTGCAAGGGGGCGATTGGGCGTAGCTGGGGGCTGTCCCCTAGCATCATGTACTGGCTATACACGGTAGTTGTTCGGCCGATTCTATTATATGGGGTCTTGGTATTGGCCAAGTCTCAACAGGAAATCTATAACTGAAGCACTCCAAAAGGTGCAAAGAACTGCGATGCTCTGCATCTGTGGGGCTCTGCGCACAACTCCATCGGAGGCTATGTGCGTGCTGCTCGACATTTTGCCAATTGAAATTGTTGGAAAACAATCAGCGGGGTGTGCCGCCTTGAGGTTGAGGGAACTACCAGGCTGGAGGGACACTCAGGAAGGCCACACCGCAATCTTAAAGAACGTAAATATACCGGACACGGATTACTGTGCACCAAGGTTGAACTTCACAAAGAGGTATAGGATTTCCATTCCAGAAAGAAAATTCTGGTCAGGAGGTGCTCCCGATGAAAGTGGATCACTCCACCTCTACACCGATGGCTCTAAGCTAGACGGAAAGGTAGGAGGGGGGTCTTCTCAGCGCGGCTGGGGCTGGAAATATGTTTTCGCTTACCCAATCACTGCAGCGTCTTTCAAGCTGAGGTCGCTGCTATACAGGAAGCGGTTGAACACCTACGTATAAGAGAAGTCATTTATAACGATATCTTCATTTACTCAGACAGTCAGGCCGCACTCAAAGCGCTCGACTCCGTCACATGCAGTTCAAAAACCGTAGCAGACTGTCGCAGATTCTAAACGAGATGGCTGAGCAGTCTGCGCTTCACTTGGTATGGGTTCCGGGACACCGGAACATACCAGGCAATGAAAAGGCGGACGAACTTGCAAGAGAGGGCACATCCGCTCCACTTTCGCGGGCCTGGAAGAGGTTAGGCATGCCGCTCGCTAACTGAAAGCTCATTCTAAGGGATCTGTCTCTTAAACTAGCAAAAGGACAGGTGGGATAGCCTCACCACTTGCCACAAGACGAAGCTTACATGGCCAAAATGGGACAAAAAGCGGTCGGTCATGCTGACAGAGGGCTAGCCGCAGCTGTGGGGCTGATAACAGGCCATGTTGCTATTCGGAAGGCACGCGGAGAGGTTAGGGATCCCCCTAACGATTTCTGCAGAAGCTGCAGAAATGAAGAAGAGCCAGAAAGCTTGCGGCACCTGTTATCCCATTGCCCCGCACTTTGTAGAAGAAGACAAAAGTTTATGGGTTCAGGATTCTTTGAGGACCTAACCGACATAGCCGAAGTAGGCATACGGCAAGTTCTCGGTTTCGCGAAATCCACACGATGGTTTGAGTAGGAGGGTTCTAACGATCCGCGTGGTATCACAACGGGCCCACAACCAAAGGCCTATGTGGGCTATTGGGGCACTGGCAGCCACTTCAACCTAACCTAACCTAACCTAAAAGTATACAACATGGAAGAGTAACACATGCGATGCGTAATCAGCCAAATCTGGCAGTGTGGCGGACATGCAACTTCATAGATGTTGTGTGTTTTTGGGGGCGTCTGCTGTACTTTGGAAATTTTTGGCGATCAAAATTAGCGATAGCAATTGTTTGAATCCGGCTGCAGATCGTTCATACATATACTCTACCGTTCTTCGTTGCCTGCAGCGCACTGAGGAGGAGCTTTTCTCTCTCGCTTACTCAAACTCCGAGTTTCTGTCTGCCCTGGTTAGAACCCATATGGGACTAATGTAACTGTCATCACTGATGTTAATTTTACCGTTGCAGCCCAATCGGAAATTCTACTAGCCAGCTATTCTCATAGGTAGCATTTACGTCATCGGTGACAGTTAAATCTTGGTGGATTGTTATATCAGAAGCCCATAACAGGAGAAATTTTTTATTCAACATGGAAAATTTTTCATAGGTTGTTCTAAAGGGGCAGATGTGTCTGACAGCGAACTATTAATATTTGTATGCAATATGCGATGAAAAATATTTAAAATATAGGATACACGCCTCGCTTTTCAAACGCTATGACTTGGTTTTGCTATGAATTTTGACGTTTTTAATTTTAAAACACATTAAGGGGAATCACTGACTCCTGCAAACCCTTGCACGGTGCAGGGTTCGCACGTAAGAACCAGCTTTCCTATGGAGGGATATGCAATCACTCTATCCTATATGCATATATTCATAAGTATGTACATATCTATAATGAAATTACCTTTTACATTGAGATGGAAGCTCGATGTAGTCGTTCCCTGGTCGTTGACTGCAGTTAATGTGTATAACCCATCCTCCACAGGCTTAACACATTGGAAAACTAGTCTGTATTTATCGCCATCTAGGTCGGCAATTACTTCGCAGTTTTCATTGTTGCAGAGGTTTTCGTTTCCTCGAGTCCACGTAACTTTAGGTTTAGGATTTGCATAAATTATGGCATCAAAAGCTATGGTATCATCAGGAAGACAACTGCAATCTTTGAGACCAATAATTTCTGGCTTTGATAAAACATCAATCCAGCCACTGGTACTTATTTCACCATATTTATTTAGTATCTGCAGCTCATAATGTCCAGAATCCTTATGTTGACCTAAATAAATATAATAAAATCATGTTGAATTTATTGGAAACGGGTTGGGTACAAAATTATTATGGTTCAATATTCCGTATTTAAAATTCCGTATATATTCAAAATTTTGTATTCAAAACTCTGTAGGTATAGCAAAATTTTGTATTGAAAAATTCTGTATTGCAAAATTTCGTATGCAAAGATCTTAAAACCATAAAAAGTGCGCATGTGTTTTATTTATCCATATGGCTTTCCGATTTTTCCATAAAGATTTTCGTAAAGCATAATTTTGGAAATACACTTCCTTTCTTTATCTATAGGTTTTCCGATTTTTCCAATACAGGATTCCGTAAAGCAAATATACATATCGTCGTTTAAAGTACAAAACCGCGTATGTGTAGAGGGAAAAACACTCATATTTAAAAATTGTTCTTTCATTTATAAAGCAGTCGCATTTCTGGCTAGAATGGCTGACTTCCACAACGTCAATTGCTTTGCATATGTACAAAGTATAAGGTTCCATAACGCCGAACTACAAAATATTGACAACGTGTACTTTTCCAAAACGCATCCGAAAAGTTATCGAAACGCATCGCAGGAGCAATCAGCGCATCAGAAACAAAGTTGATGCTTTGTTTGTTATTGGTTACCATTGGTGATTTAAAAATGGAAAATTCAGAAAAATTGTTCATTGCTATATGAATATTTAAAATATGCAATATATATGGTTGCAATGTGCGCAACTCTGCATATGCAAACAGTTTGAATACCGAAGTATAACAGTTTCCAAACATTGCATTGATACATTTTGGAAGTCAGCCTATATTTCAGGACGAATGGATAGGCTTGAGCTAAGAGCTTCGGTGAACAAATATAATTTTTGGAAAAAAATTTGAGTTACGCGGTTTTGCAGAATAACGATACGCGGTTTATACTTTAAACGACAATATATAGTTTATATTTATGTAATACTTTAAATTATAACTAATGTTTGAAAAAAAAATATACATATTTGGAGTCAAATCTCAGCCAAATATTCACCAAAATTTTGGTCAGTGCACGATGAGTCAACAAGTATCCATTTCCCAAAAACACATCATCATCGGCTAAAAGTTATCGTTGGGAAACGAGATTCAGGGGTGTAATAACTTATCAATGATTCGAAAGAAGAGTTTGGTTTATGCAAAAGTTCAACCCACGACAATTCAAAATGGCCAAAAATACCCCAAAAGATAAAGCTGTAAAAGCATATAGAAAAATTAAAATAAGGAAAAAGTCTAGACTAAGACATATTTGTTTTCTAAAAAGAATTGCTAAACATTTATTTGTATATCAATTTACTTTTTCCCATTTTTTTATTTAAGTACAGAATAAGATTTCAGTGTTAAATAAGATAATAGTAAAAAAATACCTTTAAAACAAGCTTTCTAAGTATGAACCAAACCAAACTCCGACTACTTCATATCAGGGTTGTTGCGAATATGTCGCATTCGCAACCGCGGGGCTTCCGCATTAATTTTAACATTCGCATTCGCTTTCGTATTCGCAATAATCAATGCGGAGCTTTTGCGAATGCGAATATTTTGCAAGTGGACCGATAAAACGTATACATATATGACAAAAAAAAAACTACATATTATAGCCAATATTTTTGCCTGTGGTCGTAGGAGTATTTGTGTAAAAACTGGTCAAATGTCATATTTATCAACTTTGATAAAAATGTCTTTAAAATATTATTTCTTAAGCTATATAACCGAGCTATCAATGGGCAGCCATAAAAGTTCCCACTT